CACTCACTCTTTCTGTTCCCATCTCCACCTGTCCCTTCGCATTCCCAGTCATTCTTTGGGAGCCCCAGGGTGACTAGTAGTGGGCATCTGCTGCCACCTGCAGGCTGCTGCTTAACTCTGGGCATCTCAGAGAACAGAAAGTAAATATGAGCAGGGTGTTTTGGGGATTCAGTGAGTGGTTCACATTTTAATACAGATTTACTTAAATCACACCTCCCGAATCAATGTATGAACCGAAACACAGTTATCCTCCCGATTCTGCACTTTTTCAAATAGTGCAATGTAGCGTTCCAAACAAAAAAAGTGTATATTCAGAGAAAGTGTGCATAAGAATGGGGGGGGGAATATTAGTGAAAATAGCAAGCAGGAATGCATTAAATTGGGGGAAATTGCTTGCACAAAGGCATGCAAAACTGCATGTAAAATGTGTAGGGTTGCCATATTTTGAAGAACAAAAAAAAGAGCGCACATTTGGCAACTTCTACTTTTGACTATGGATCGCTATGACAACTCTCATTTTATATGCCCATGGAAAAGAGGACATGTCCTGGAAAAAGAGGACATATGGCAACCCTACATGGTTAGGAGAATTGTCCGCCATCGTGATATAGAATGTTCATGCACACTTTTCTTTTTGACATTGCATAACAGACTCACAATTATGAAGAGCTGAAGAGTGGGGAAAACAAGAAACCAAAGTAGATAGATCTGTCCATCCCCAGCTGAAGGAACCAGTAATACCTGCAAGTTTGGATGCTGTGGATACTCAGGGTAGACCTGCTGAAATTAAGAGACCTCGGTTAGTCAGGTGCTTGTTGTATAGAACTCCAGGACAGATGCTGCCCTAACTCCTCTTTAACCAGTGCTCCAGTCCAATGAACAACACCGAGTCTGCGAGCTGATATTTTAATTTCCCATAATGCCCCTGAAGTAGTATCACGTTGGGGCATGGAATGGTGGATCCCCTCCCCATAGATTGCATTATGGGCAGGGGACCATTAGAAGGTGCATTGCTAAGATGTCCCATAGCCCTGGAGTAAGCCCACCCACACTGCAATGAGTTCCTCCACTTATGCATCTAGATGTTTTGCTTATCCCTCAATTGGTACCAGACATGGAGCCCTCAAAGGATGAACCAGGCACCCTACAGGTTCAGGACCTTGGGGAGTGAGCTGTCATGGACCGGCTGTGCACAGAAGAATGGTGGGAGGCACCAGCTGGGGAACCCCCAACAAAAGGAAGCTCAGAGCCAAGGGATTGGTGGTGGGACAATGATGAATGGTCAGAGGGAGAAGCCTGGGAGAAGAGGGTGGTGGAAGCTGAAGAAGAGGTAACAGGGGTTTGTGAGCAGGGAGAATCTGTGGCAGAGGGAAGTCTAGAATCAGAGTCAGAAACTGAAGCAAGTGAGGGAGACCAAAAGGCAGAGATGAGTTAGACTAGTGAAGAAGCCAGGGTGTCTCCCCCTCCTGCTGTGACCAGCTCTCCTCTAGCCTGGTCTCCCCGAACCAGAAGATGTATGAAGAGGGAGGAGCAGCGATGGCACATTCTCTGATTGCTTGGGAAGGGGTTGGGGGAAGAGGAGATTCAGGCAGCTGTGGAAAGGTAGGTATAGGGCAGTATATAATTTAATTGATAACCACTGGTTGAAAAAAACCCTAATGAATCATTTCTCCCACCTACCCCAAATTAATTTCAGGCTGAATCCGGCTCATGTGTCCCCTGGGTTGGGTCTGGCTGGGGCTAATCTGAGTCTCTGAACAGCCCCACTGAATGCTGCATCAAACACTTTGCAACAACATCAAAGCAGATAGCTGCAAACTATTATTTCATCACGCTTTCCCCCCCTTTGATTCCCCCACTCACTGCTTTGAGGTGTGGCTTAGCCACGGCACATGAGCCCTGCAAGGAAATGCCCTGGGTGTATTTCAGGCAAATTGTGGTACAAAAATCTGTGCATAGAAGAAGGGCACACTCAAACGCTGACTGATTTTCCTGATGAATTTAAAAAAAGAAAAGAAAAAAGATCACCAATCAGTGCAGAAAGGTAGCAAACTCGACAACACTGGACAAATGAGAAACCAAGAGGAAGGAAAGTTGGGCATGTGTTTTCACCTGCAAAACGTAGAGGGATGGGGAGTGAGTCAGTCTGGGTGCACCTTTAAAAATGCTAGGAGGTGTGTGCACTAGTGCTACAGAAGGTGAGTACCTAGGCATCAAAGAGCAAGCCTTGCAAGGTTTATCCCCATGGAAAAGAAAATTTCCCCAAATCTTCCTTGCAGCTGTCCTTCCCCCCCACTGCCGGCTGAGCAGGCCATGCTGAGCCCCTTTTATGTGCTCATTAAATGGGTCACCAGTAGGTAACAGGAGGAAATTACCCCTCATTTTATTCCGAGGAGCTGCAGACCCAGCGCACCCCTGTAGCTAAACAGCAGGGTTGACAAAGGAGGTTTGAGAACGGGAGCTGGCAATGTGGCTTAACCCCTTCCGTGCCTCTTCCGTCCGCCTGGGGGATGTGCAGCGTGATCGAGGGCTCCTGCTTTCTCCTGTGATCTGTTTGCCTCCAGCTCCTCCTCCATCCCCTCCTTACCTTTTGCCACATTGCCCGTCCCCTGATACGGTACCCCCTCACACAGGACATAGTTAAATAGAGGGAATTCACTCCTGCGAAATGTAATCATCGCCACCAACTCGTGTGGCTTTAAAAGAAGATTGGAACAATTCAGAGGGACAAAGCAAGCTGACTGAAAGCGTGCCGTTGGTTCATCTAGCTCAGCGTTGTCCACACTGAAGTTTGGGATTTCAAGCAGGAGATTCTCACAACCCTACTTGAAGATTCTGAGAGTCCATATCAAGGCTTCTGCAAGCAAAGTCGATGTCTATCAGTGCACTTTCACTTCGTGGAGGATAAAACTATTGATGATTCCTAGCAATGATGGCTACATTCTGATTCCGCCGCCAGGGCCAGTAAGCGAGTTGCCTGGAATTGCAGGTGGGGAGCATTGCTGTTGTGGGCTTCCCAGAAGCATTGGGTTGGCCACTATGAGAGTAGGATGCTGGACTAGGTGGAGAAGGACTCTTCTTATGTTCTTCCTGAGATTTAGAGTTGCTACCAAGTTTTGCATTTCTGGGCTCAGAAGCCCTTGTGTTCTAAGGGGAACATTGTTTCTGGTTGCAAGTGATATCTCAATGTAGATAGCACTTCCTGGATCAGGATGGGGTTGGAACAAACTCAGTGGGCAAACTCACTGAGACTCCCTCTGGTTTGGCTCAGCGGAGCCATGTGCAAATCTCCCTACCTCCCAACAAATAACAGTTGGGGGTAAGAATTCCCCAAGCCAAACCAAGTCATTGCAGCCTGGGTAAGAATGTGATCTATGCAATGGACTCTGGGCTCCAGCCATCAAACTACCTTCTCAAGAGCTGACCAAGCCTAGATTGCTCTTATTATTACTATTGGAACTGTTGTTCCTCTTAATAAAAAGGGAAGAGGGGAAGGGGGGGAGTATGTGTTGGAATCTGCCATTGATGTAGGTTGCTTTGGGGATTTGGGCAGAGGTGGACAGCTTTCTGAGAAGGACCATAGAGAATGCTGATTTTATACCAGGAACAGGGATCCTGTAGACCTCCAGATGTCACTGAACAGCCATTCCCCTCATGCCCAATGACCATGATTGCTGGGGCAAGGCTGAAGGGAGCTTTTAGAGGGTCCCAAAACATCTGGAGGTCTGGAAGATGCCCTAATTCTGGTCAAGAACTTTTCTACATTATTTGGAATCCTCTCTGAACAATTAACTCCCATTGACCAGTTAGCAATTGATCCTTCCGGACGATTAACCATATGCATTTCTGTGCACACTTACACACACACACTACAGATAACTTGACTGAAGAGCTGTACAGTGATACCTCGGGTTACAGATGCTTCAGGTTACAGATACTTCAGGTTACAGACTCCGCTAACCCAGAAATAGTACCTTGGGTTAAGAACTTTGCTTCAGGATGAGAAGAGAAATCGTGCTCTGGCAGCGCAGCAGCAGCAAGAGGCCCCATTAGCTAAAGTGGTACCACAGATAAGAACAGTTTCATGTTTAGAATGGACCTCCAGAATGAATTAAGTTCTTAACCCGAGGTACCACTGTATTGCAAAGTTCAGAGAAGTGCGAATTTCAAAGGATGGCTCTTTTTTGGTTTTCACATTGTTTTGGAAAGGATGGATTCAGTTGGTTTGCCTTTAATGCGACTTGAGTCGAATTCCCTCCCCATCCCTAATGCAGAGAAGCCCTTACTGAGCCTTGCCTAACTGGTGATTCAGAGCTACATCCAGCCGTAATTGTCACCTCCTCCTACAAAGGTGTAGCTTCTGGAAGAGTGGCGCTCATGTTCAGAGGTGCATTCATGTTCAGAGCCCCACCTGTGACCCTGCTTGCTAGGTGGGATCCCTTTGACACAAAATGAAACGAGCCCCTTTTACAAGGTCACCTTCAGCCCTTACCTTGTAGTTGTTAGAAGTCAGTGCCTTCCCCTGGGTGGAGATGAGGCCAAAGATTTTTTTTAAAAAAGGAGATAGCAAGCTATCAGCAGATGCTGGGGCTGTCAGAGCCCCATCAGAAACGGGTACAAAAGACTCCGCAGTGGGGAACAGGCAGAGAATTAATTGGCCTTGTATTGACAAAAGCAGCAGGCAACACTGGATTGTCAAGGTCAGCAAGGCAAGGCTGGAATCAGGCTACCCAAACACGTGAGATAATAGGCACTGAGAACAAATGCAGAGGGGAGGGGGGCAGCAGTGGGGCAGCCCATCAGCACAGCTAGCGCACCGAGTGCCATGCAGAGGCAATGGCTGAATTGATGGCGGAGGTGCACTCCATTTGCTGAGCCTGCAGAATGAATTGGGTAAGCAGGAGAGGGCTTGCAGAGATTTGGTCTGCATTGGTGGTGGTGTTGGAGCTTATCTTGAGCATGATGGGAATAACTGCTGGAGGCTCCCCACAATCCTTCCTCCCCACATAGCTCAGTGGTAGAGCATCTGCCTTGCAAGCAGAAGGTCCCAGGTTCAATCCCCAGCATCTCCTAGCAGGGTTGGAAGGGACTCCTGCCTGAAATCCCAGCGTAGACAACACAGAGCTAGATGGACTTGGTATAAGTCAGCTTCCTGGGTTCTTATATGGCCACCTTCTTCTGGACTGAACAGAAAACCACTTGGCATTCTTGATGGTAGGTGGTATCCAACTAAGCTTTACTCAGAGTTGTTGGCATCCATGTGTCTCGAGAGACAATGGAGTGCACCCCTGGGGGTGAAGCCAAACCTCTGTGCTAGTAGCACTGCAGTGACCTCCCTGGGGCATGTTTATGGAGGTCCTGGGCTGCCTAGATGACAAGACCCCCCTCTCAGCCTTGCTTATGTGGACCAAAGGAAAGCAGAGCAATAAACTTGGCACCAGCTTGGCTGCAGGAGTTGCCGGAAGGAAGCATACATAAAGGCATCCAACCATCTTAGGGACATCCAACCATCTTAAGGACTCACTAGGGTGGTGGCTTTGATTTGCCTTCCCGTGACTGATCCATGCACACGGCTTTGTGTTTCCAACTCAAGACCCATTGAAGAACATCTCATCCAGTTCAATCTTTGAAAAACAGCTTTGAAAAACTTTTTCATATTCTCCAGTGTGCTACCCTTGCCGTTGTGACGGCACGGGGTTGCCGTTCTGTGATTGGACTTATGCGACTTGTTGAATGGTTCATTTATCCAGTCTGTATAACGTTTACTGCACATGTAACTTGTTAAGATAGAGTTGTACATTTATCCCCTCCATGTTTACAGTATCTCCAGGCTTTGTCTTGCACATGGCACCTTAGTATGTTTGTTGTTTGAATGGTTATAAGTCTATCTCTATTCTAGCTATTATTCAAGTAAATTTGGTTTTATACTTATAAGCCAGTTTGTGGTGTTGTTGTTTTGTTGGCCTTTTTTTCTCCTGAAGATATTCCAGAAGGCAGCACAGGTTTCTTCTTTAATTGAAAGACTGCATGTAGGTATCCTAACAAATAAACTTTTTCTGGAAGGGTTGCCATATGTCCTCTTTTTCCAGGACACGTCCTCTTTTTCATGGGTAGAGTTGTCACAATGATCCATAGTTAGAAGTCGGCAAATGTGTCCTCTTTTTTGCTCTTCTGAATATGGCAACCCTAATTTCTACTATATATTTTGGAAAGTGGTTTGCCTGTTTCTAACCAATTTCCCCCCTGATGGTTTCAGAGATCCAGGAGATCCAGGAACAGTTTGGATACAGCTGGACACCCTTTTGATACAGGATTGAAGATGGAACCTTTAAAAACTGCAGTGCTTTTAACCACTGGCTTCAGAACTGTACAGATTTGGGGTGCTTCTTATAATTCTCAAGCAACACCAGTGACAAAGCTGCTAAAACAGCCTTATCTCAGCTGAGTTCCTAGACCCACTTACATGGGAGAAGGCCATTCCTCCATCGTGAATTTTTCCAATGCATGAGTGGGGTTCAGCTGAGCCCACCTCCCAATTATTTCCAGGCATCACCTTCAAATGAACATAAATAGGAGTTTGTGATAAATGGTCCCAAAGCACCCCCAAACCAACACACCATTTTCATGGACGTCAGAGTGTTTTGAGTTTTGTTTGTTTGTTTTACACCTGGTGAAAATTAACATGAAATCAGTAAGTAGCTAAAAGGAATGGTGTGTGGAGCAGGGGGAGGCAGGGCATTGAAAGCAATGTCTGCTCGCGTTTCCAGCCAACTAGGCTGAAGTGGCTGAGAGGCGTCAACGGTGCTGTTTGTGTGGCTGATTCCCAACACTTCTCAGTTCCTCCTCTCCTCTCCCCACTCCCCACACCTTCACCTCTGCTCCTCCACCCATCCTCCCCCTCCATTCCAGGGAGAATAAATCAAGGCAAATTGCACAAGGCAGCCGATACGCACATGTCAAACATTTCTTAATGGAGTAGCTCAATGAAGGTTTCTGCCACCTGGGCGTGGGGGCTGGGTAGGTTGGCCCTCAACTTGGGAAAAGAGATGATCAGGAGAGGGAGCAGAGTGTAGGGGAGAGAAGAAGGAACAAAGAGAGGCAGGAGATAGGAAAGAGAATACTTTTGGTTCTGCCTTTGCATCTCAGAGTATAAAATGATCTGGGCTTGTTTTCAAGGTAGAACTTTTAAGGAATTCCTTAGAATAAAATCTGAATGTTGTGTGGTGCATGTTCAATTCATTCCTGTTTTCCCCTGCCACATTAATAATAATAATAATAATAATAATAATAATAATAATAATAATACTTGCCCTTCACCAGCAGGTCGCAGGTCAAGTTACCACACTTTAAAAGCAATTAACACTGATGCACTTGTGTGACAAAGACTTGTGTGACAAAGAGTCCTCCTGCTGGTACCAGATTTTATTTTATTTTAATTTTTTTTGCAAACCGCTTTGATGATTTGAACTGATATTACCCTTGCTGGGACCTTTCCCTGGAAAATCAGCGCCTCACTATGTCAGGTTCCTATTGGAAGACCGGACAAACGCTAGAACATTAGCAGTGGTGAAGTTTTTATCGGTGGTTGCAAGAACCAATAATCCCTAACTTTAAGTCTGAACAAAATGCTTGTTTAACCTGGAGGTAGGCTGTCTGAATTGTGCATTGCTTTGTAACAATTTGTTGGGTCTCTGGACCGTAATAAAGATTGATTCATATAATCAAGATGTATCTAAATCTTGTGAAATAAATAAGATTCTTTCTGCAGGGAAGTAAGAGCAATTTTTACCTTTGTATATTAGACTAATTTCCACACATTCTAGCACACCCTTTCCCCTATCTTCCATTCAGGGAAGGAAGGAGCATTATTTGGGTTCAAGGCCACATCCCAGCCAGGCAAAAGCACTCAAGGAGGGTACGAGGAGCAACGGGGGCAGGGCGGGGGGCGGGCGGGCTGAGATTCTCCAACCATGGGATAGGTCTCATCCAAGCCTCATCTTGGAATGAAAGGATTTCCCTTATGTTTCTTATTCCTCTGATACTAAGGTTGTTACCTTTGTTCTGGCAAAATACAGGACAGGGCGGGGTGGTTGAGGGGCTTTCCCCCTCCCCATCTGGTGCTGAAGTGCCTTCAAAGCAATCCATTGCAATCTACTGCAGCCTAACGGGATGGCCCCTCTGGAATTTGCCCCACCCACCCACAAATTTGTTAATCTGTCTGTCCTTGGCTACACAGAACTTAGATACATGACCTTTCACACACCCTTTCAAAGACATGCATTGGAGAGGATCCCTAACTTGGCAGAGAGAGATAGATGGGGGGGGGGGAAGAGAGAGAGGACCTGATTTAGGTTTGATGAGGCCCTAAGCTACTGAAGGTGATGCGGCCCTTTATATGTCCAGCTGTCCTTTGTCAACAACATACAGTGGTACCTCGGGTTGCATACACTTCAGGTTACAGACGCTTCAGGTTACAGACTCCGCTAACCCACAAATAGTACCTCGAGTTAAGAACTTTGCTTCAGGTTGAGAACAGAAATCGTGCTCCAGCGGTTCGGCAGCAGCAGGAGGCCCTATTAGTTAAAGTGGTGCTTCAGGTTAAGAACAGTTTCAGGTTAAGAATGGACCTCTGGAACAAATTAAGTACTTAACACGAGGTACCACTGTATTGTCACTGTTTTTTGTGTTGAATGTATGCTATATGGTAATTTATGGACCTAATAGGTATCTAAAGCCATTTGTACATAACAAAATATGTATTTTATCAAAGTAATTGTTGAACTGAAATACAATTAAGAAGTATATTAATAGTGAAATACAATTAAGAAGAAGTATATTAATAGTGAAATAATTATTAAGCTCTAACTTAAAATTTTGGAAATGTACATCCTGTTTTTTTCCACTTTATTTTTTTTAGGGGGCCCCAAGAAAGTGGGGCCCTAAGCTATAGCTTGTTTAGCTTATATGTAAATCCAGCACTGCCTGCAATACAGGACAAAATTGCATCAATACAGGATGTAGCACTTTACATTGAAATACAGGACAACCTTGTATTATACAGAAGGGGTCGCAGCCCTATCTGATACCCACTACTGCTTTTGAACTTCAATTAGACGAGCAGAACTTCCAAAGTTATTTCCCAAATCAGAGTGCTTTTTGTTTGCCACAGATCTGTCCATTTGCACCTTTTACGTTACCAGCGAATATGTGCACCATGATTAACACTGTTACGTGAGCTCCACATTAGAAAAGAGAGTGGAGAATTTGGAACTGCAGATTGTAAGCGGAATTCAGATGAAGTTTCAGAACCTCCCCCTAGGATTACATTGCAGAAGTTGGGCCTTTTCAGCAAACAGAGCGTTCAGTCTTTGTGTCACTGAAGAAGGGACATATTAGAGCTGGAAGGAAAGTTGAGATTTGGGTAAGCAAAATGACCAAGGGGGTGGAGCAACACCACCGTGAAGAAAGGTTCCAATATACAACATTATTGTATATAATAATGGTATAATAGGTTAGTTTAGGGAAGAGGCAAGTCAACAGGGGCATGATAGAGGCTTATAAAATTAGTGTGGAGAAAATGGATAGCGAAAATCTTCACTCTCCCACTCATAATACCAGAACTTGAGGACACTCAATGACGCTGAATGTTGGAAGATTGAGAACAGAGAGAAGAAAGAAATGTATTTATGCAGTGCATAGTTAAACTGTGGGATCTGCTCTCATGAGATGCCCATCAACCTGGATGACCTTAAAGGAGGATTAGGCAAATGCAAGGAGGGTAAGGCTATCCGTGGCTACCAGCCACAATGTCTATGTTCTTCCTTCACTGTTGGAGGCAATATGTCTCTGAATACAGGTTTCTGAGAATTAGAATTAGGGAGCAGGCTCAGGTCTGGCTTGTGGACTTGTCCTGGGGGCATCTGGTTGGCCACTGTGAGCACAGGTTGTGGAATTAGATGGGCATTTGGCCTGATCCTGCAGCAGGTCTCTTCTTAAATTCTCACATTGTTCTCTCCAAGCTGTTGAAAATGAGTTTGGCAAAGGACTGCTGTGGGAAATGAGATTTTTTTTTTAAAAAAA